CAGAGTGGCCAATCAGGACTGACTGAGTAAAACCTTAATGCCAGTTGGTTAAAATAAATTTTTCTCTTTATGAGACTGCACTGGGAATTTGGGAGTTAAGATTTTACTCCTCTGAATAACTTACAGTTGGTAGACCCCCCACCCCCTCTGCTCTAAACATTTGATTAAATGTTTAGAGCAGAGAGGTGTTGGGATAGGAACAGACCAGACCAGGGAGGACTGAAGAGGGTAAGTTAGAAAAAAACAAAACAAAAAAACAAAACAGAAAGGCATTAGAGGCAGAAGCAGCAAAATATGCTAACCTCACCGCTCATTTTTAAAGAACACAGACAGAAGAGGCAGTTGGTAAATGGTGGTAGATACTGTACTGTATAACATAAGCTTTATCATAACTGAACTAGATACTAGTGGAATAAAAAATCTGATTGATAACTTCTGTCCACTGACTGTGACAAGGTGAAGAATATTGCAGAAACGTGCACAGTTAAATGGTGCTTACTGGTACTGTAGACTCTGATGGTAGAGGTAGTTATTTTTCCCACAACACATAGATTCTCTCCAAGCTGCTCTGCATTCCTTAAATTTTTCCCCTGGTTTCTATGTAGCTTATGACATTTAAAAGAAAAGATTAGAAAGATTTTATTGACATGTATGAAATAAGTTCTTAGGTGCTCAGACCCTAGCAGAAGACATGATGCTGGATGAATGAAGACATGTGCTTGGATGAAATGAAGTAGTCTTTCCCTCAGGACCCGGACACTGGTGGTGGAGTAAGCCAGAGGATGAGAGGGTCAAAGAATCATCTAAGAGTGAGGGAGAAGATTAGGCTGAAGTTGATCAAAGTTTGGCTGATGCACTGAATGGGTAAGCTGGGCCTTTATCTTTATGAAGAGCATCTTGAAAAACACTTGACTTTAGAGGGCTTCAACAGGTTTTCCAGGTAAGGATGATAAAGAGTCTTCCAGACTGAATTTTCACTAAAACTTAATTAAGGTTCATTGGGTTTTTTTTTTTTTCTTGTTTAGATTCTTTTTCTTGAATGCCTGCCCCATTTATAATATTTTGCCTGTTACTGTCTCGCATCAGTGCTTTTTCTGCATTCATGTCCGATGTCCTGTTCCCCTCGTGATGAGTTATGTTTGGCTTTTGTTTTTATTAGATCCTTCTCTCCACCACACTGCTCTTGAGGTCATTTTCCAATAGGGACTGTTGTGGGGAAAAAAGTATTCAACTATTCATCCTAGTTAAATAAATGGAGATCGATGGATTTCACTCTGTCGGCACATTTATTCATATCTTTGCAAAGACGGAACAGTTCATCATACAGCCCTTATGGCACAGCATTCTGCCCTGTTCTGCATGAGCAGCCTTCCTTCCCCCTTACTTACAACAATGCAAAAGTAGTCAAAGTCAAAACAAATTACAGACACTTTGGTTAAACAGTAACATGCTATGAATAAACCTGAAGAAATCTGGTTTGTTATGGGAAGAAGCTATGTCTGGTCTACAAACACCATCCCATAGAGAATTGTGTGGCCTTGAAAGTGAAACAGACTGAGTGAAAACTTTTATAGTGAGTAAATAGAATAAATTAATATATAATCAAAAGAGAAATCTAAATTTTTTCGACAACAGGTCCCTTAACAAACATTACAGGCTCCATTTAATTAGGCTCAATATTTTTTAAAAATACGTTGAAAAACATTTGCTGACACAGTTTTCCAGCTTTTATTTGGGAAAAGCTTTGGGAACCTTACATAATTTTCCTTTCAATTCACAGCTACGCATTTACTCTAAATTGTTTATCACAAAAATCCCAAGAGAACACAATAATTCTTTAGGTTTTAAATTTAATGTGTGTGCAAATACAAATATGCAAATTCAAGAAATGTGACAATGATACAGAAAGTTCATCATGGGGGAACCCTCAAAAAGAGAAGTTTTTTTGTTGATATGATTGTAGTTCTTTTGGGGCAAGGACCTCAGCAGAATATGTTGATGCTGAGATTTGACACAAGCTCTCAGGAATAGCTTAAATTTAATAAAAATCTAATCTTTAACAGAGAATAAAGTATTTAAACCGGTTTAACTAATCCTCACCCTGTTTCTTTTTGTTTATTATGATATCTGTGATGGCACTCGAGAGTTCTTTATGCCTTGTAGTGCTGGATGTCGCCGCCTTCACTTGATCCAACATTGGATAAAACTTCTCAAGATCTTCTTCAAAACGACGTGAGGCGACTTTCAGCAGGTTATCAAAATCTTTCCTTAAATAGAATAAATATCTTTAGTGTGTCATGTTAAATTATGTCAGATACACAACATTTCTTGCTTGTTTTAATCATCCTCTACCTTTGATTAATTCTGTCAATATTTATATTACTAAACTTAACAATAAACTACCCTAATTTACAATTTAAACATTTTTGTGAAAATCTAATCTGTTCTATCAAAAAAAGACTCATTCTCAGCTGAACGAGGTTTGTGGGGGTGTCTCTGCTAAGACTGCTGCCCCAGTGACCTTGGCACTGGGTGATGAGTACATTCAATTTAGTTCAATTCAGTTTATTTATATAGCGCCAAATTCACAACACATGTCATCTCAAGGCACTTTACAGTTCAACCAGATCATACAGTCAAATTGATACAAAGTTTTCTATCTAAGGAAAACCAGTTGATTGCATTGACTCATTGACTCAAATATACAATCCCTCACACTTAGCATGCTTGTAGCGACAGTGGAGAGGAAAATCTCTCTTTTAACAGGAAGAAACCTCCAGCAGAACCAGACTCAGTGTGAGCGGCCATCTGCCGAGGCCGACTGGGGTTCAAGGAAACAGAAGCAGAGATACAAAAAGCAGCTGTAAAAGGCGGCCCCGTCCAGGAAACACACAGCCAGGCAGACGAGCTCCGAGCCAGCATGAGTTATTAGATCAAATCGTGGATTTTTCAAAAATTTACTCTTAAGGCTGAGATGATATAAAAGTAGGGGAAACATATTTTAAAGTAATCTGAAACTTTATTTATTTATTATATTTATTGCCCCTGCTTACCTCAAGGAACTCCTCACACCTCACACCGCCTCCAGAACCCTCCGCTCCACCACCTCCACCCACCGACTGCACCAGCCAAGAGTCAAGCTCTGCACAATGGGAGATAGGGCCTTCCAGGCAGTTGCCCCACAACTCTGGAATGGCCTCCCAGAGTCCCTTAGGGTCCCACAGAGTGTGGAGGCGTTCAAGAAAGGCCTCAAGACATTTTTATTTAAAAAAGCCTTTGAACATTAGTTAGTATTTTATCTGTGTGGTTGTATGGTTATTTTACTGTTTTGTTTTTACTATGTATGTTATTTTACTGTAATGTCTCATTTTAACTATGTATGCTGTTTTTATTGTACGGTTTTGTTTTAACTATGAATTTTGTAGCACTTTGAGATTTTTTTTTAAATGTAAAGTGCAATACAAATAAAATGTATTATTGTATTATTATTATTATTATTATTTAGTAAAAATAAGTCGATACAGAGAAAAATATTCAGGCATTTACACAGCTAAATAATAGAAATCAGATGAAAAAAAGAAAACATCCAGGTTTTTTAAGAATGCATGGAACATTCTAAAATATTCTCTATCTTTACACCTGTAATTTGTCTTTCCTGTAATATAACTAATACTAGCATTCATTTTACCCAGATATATTTATCATAAAGGAGGAAAATAATCATGGAAAACATAATAATTAAAACAATCTCTGCTCAACACTGCAAAGCTCCACCAGCCATCAAGGAGAGGGACATTTTTACAGCTCATCATGGGGTTACCGGTGACCCGGTGGATGTTTTAATGAGGTTTTAATGAGGTTAAATGGCAGAGCTCAGTCTTAGAATGCAGTACTTTCCTTCAAGACTGACAATAATTGTTTTCTACTTTCGGCTACTTTAGATCGCCAATGAAATGTAAAGAAATAGCAAATATAGGTAATAATATGTTGAGACTCCAAAAGACATGCAATACATTTTGTCCGAGTGGAGTTGCCATATAGGCGTCATAAGAAGGGGCAAGGCCCCAAGCAGATCTGACCACCCGAGCAGATCTGGTACCTACACCAGAGGAGAGAATCGAAAGGTGGAAAAATGCATTTTAGTTAAGCAATTTAGGACCCATGAGGCCAAAATAAATACTCTAAATTAACATTTGAAATGTGAGTAAATCTAGATTTTATATAGGCTTATTTCATTTTCAAGCTAATTTTAATGTATTTGAATTTGGTAGCAGTTTTTTCAGATTTTGAAAATTATTTTGGCTGTCTCAATTTAATTGATTGAATTTGAATAAAAAATACTTGATTTGACAGGATTCAGATATTAATTTGCAATGTTTTGTGAGGTTTTGTTACAAATCTTAATAGATTAATTGCCGAAGGTTTTTCCAAAGTAAAATCAAAGAAGTGGCCAACCATGATAAGAAGCTAATCCCAGTGGGAGTGTTATGTATGGTGCATGCTGTAAAACAAGCCTTCTTTACCCTCAGAAAGAAGGCCTTTGCTGAATAGGACACAGAAACAAATAGGAATGATATTATAAACACTTTAAATTCCAACAGGATCTACATGCTGAGCTGTAAATGTTGATGGATTTGTTTCAACTGTTTAAATCAAAAGAATGTTATTTCTCAATAACAGATAGTAACAAGGACATTTCAATGAAAAGAACCAGTGCATTATATCATGGTAGCATACTGGACTAACTGGGCTCCTGAGAGAGACACATTCTTAAACAATGTGTTGTAAAAACCATCTACATTCCTGGTACCGTTTTTTTTTTTTTTTTTTTTTTTTACCACATTGTATTTGTATTTTTATTTAACAGATTTTTCACCTAATTTAAATATAGCTTTAATACAGCATTTTGATATTAGCAGAAAATTGCAGCTTTGCTTCTTTACAAGCCTCTCAGTATGCTATGAATATTCATTTTTTAATAAAACTTTGTAGCATCTGGATTATAGTAAATTATGGATGCATTAGCATTTTATTGTTTTGATTTAGAACACAAGGAATTACAAATTAGTCATACAGTTTCGGGATTTTTTGTAATACACTATGCTTCACGAAACATAGTGTATTACAGCTTTAAAGACAGACAACGGACAAGCATTACAAATTAGGTTCTTTCTCTGCCAGGTGTGTTACAAGAGTTTCCAGTTCTGCCAGTTTTTGTTTGCACTTCTCGATATTTGCAGCTTGATTCAGAAGTTCTCTTCTTGCAAAACCTTGGCTTTGTTCCAGTAAGCTGTTTATTTCTTTTATAAATCCCAACAAAAAATTTGGCACTAGTCTCTTTAGTACTCTTATTAAGGCGTCAAGCAAGTATGTAACATCATCAAGGATCTCAGGAATGTATTTGCGGTCAACCATGTTTATTATCTGGATAAAAAAAACAAAATGAAATGCTATTATCATCATTATAGAACATTATACAACATCTAAAGAGGTGATTTAGTTGATGTTTTCTTACTAACCTTTCTCCTGTCAGCATCTTGGTGTAACTTCTGAATGTCATTTTGTATTTCTCTCTGCGGATTGAAAGATCATTAAGACACATTTTAAATCAGAGGCAAAATATCTAAAACGCAGATGTTACAAACCTGGCTGTCATCACAATTTGTTTAAACATGCAAATGGTTATTTGAACAACAAGAAAAAAGGTTTACCAGCTCATGTTTGTCTATCCATGTACTGGCAGGGTAAAGCAGAGTCAGCAAAACAAAAATGAGGAAAACATATGTGGGCACCGCCGCCATTGCTGCTAAAACTGCAGTCGAAAGATAATACATTGTAAACATATTTAATGAAATGAAACAGATCAGAAAGTCAGAATCTATACACATACTTCTATATAGATATCGTACCTTTTTTGGGGTTTGAGATGATCCAGTTTTATCAAGTCAGAAGGTGGAAACAGTCTTTCACTACCTTTTATTACCTCAACGGTGGTACATCTTCTCTGTGACTAAGTATATAACTTGACTGACTGGAAAAGCTCCATAAATAGGTTTCCGATCCAGTCACTCATCTACTTACTGTAAGTTAGTCCTGTGAGAAAAAAAAACAAAAAAAAAACATGGGACAAAAGAGAAACTGAGAGAAAGCGGTGGTTGTCAGCTGATGATATCAGCTGATCTGTCAACAAACACTGCCTAGTACAGATTCAAATTACAAGCCGTGCATGTGTTTATCTGCAACACTGCAAGGATTTTAACTATCAATTCACAAAATCAAAAAATAAATTAGATACATTTTGGATAACTTTCACATTACAGATTGCAGCAAAATACTATAAACAATGGTCACAGCAGTTTACTGTAATTTCATATTTATGATATTACAATACATTGTGGTCAAAGCATAACTATAAACGGTAATTTTTACAGATTTGAGTAATTATTGTAATGTTAGAATACATTACTGGGGAATTACATTGCCGTACATCAGTTCAACAAAACCCTGTACTTTTACAACGTTTATGGTGAAAGTAATTTAAAGTTGAAATAAGCCACGCATAGGTAGCAGAGGCAAACACCATGCAGAACATGCATATATATATATATATATATATATATATATATATATATACAGTGTATTGTCATTATCAGTTCGTATGAAATCGTACGAAAAGTTATGCACAGTAATTCCGTACATTTTTGACGTTTTTTTCCTCGCATTTTTACGTCTTGCCTCGAGACAAGATATCCTTGCGCATCTTACGCACTATTAAATAACATAGAATTTAATACAATTAACCCTGACCCTGACCCTAACCCTAAGATACAAAAGAGCAAGCAACGTAGTTAGAGACCTGAAGAAGTAATTATTGCACTGTTTTTCCCATTTTTACGTCCGTCCGCGGATCTGCTTTTTTTGTCTGTCTGGCTGCGCATGCGCACTGATAATTTTTTTTCGAGGAAAAACGTCCAAAACGTACGAAATACTGTGCATAACTTTTCGTATGATTTCATACGAACTGATAATGAGAATACATATATATATATATGCACTGCCCATGTGCAAACAAGGCGATTTATCTTCCAGTTTGTCGAGTCCAACTACAGCCATCTCTCGCCGCTGAGTCCAATGTGTGGTATTCTGACATGCAGTGTAAGCAGACAGATCGCATCAGAGCATCGGGCCATACAGTGTAAGAAAATACATCATGAGCTGTTAAAAACTGCAGTTGCATTGTACAGGTTGAGCTGTAGCTGAGTACAATGATTAAAAATTTCGTACAGTGTATGACTGCCTTAGAAAGCATTATAGAAAGTACTAAAAAGTGTGATTTGCTATTGCACATAAAAAGGACTGTAGGAAAGTAGGTACATTTAAAAGATACATTTAAACTTGAAAAACAAACACTGTTGAGTGAATGAGCGACAATTCAAAAGACAGTGCAGGGAAATCATTAGAGTCATCCCTCTAATGAGAGAGGCCTTTTATCCTGTTAATTTGGTTTAATTATGACTGAAGAAAACCTTCTTAGTTGTTTTTAAACATGACCTTTTCTGAATTACATGTATTGGATGGATGTATAAATTTAATGTGAACAACAAAAACAGATTTAACTTTTTGTGAAATTTCAAATATACTCTGGTAACAGAAACATCTTGTTTATCTGTTAATGTTTTATCATGTCTCTGTTTGCAGTAATGTTTGCTTCCTTCAAAAGGAGTTTTTTAAAGTGTTGACATACTAAAGTGAAAGTGAAAACTGCTGAGCATAACTGCCCTGACAAGAGCTAACTATTTACTCATGTGATTCATGTTGAAAGCTTTTGCCAAAGGGGAGGTGACAATGAACGTATATTTTATAACATTTTGTGAGGTGTCCTTTCTTTCATTTTAGTCAATCATCACCTGTACAGCAGCTCTTCATCTAGTATAAGGTATGATTTAACCCTCATCCACAAACTGCTAAAATAAAGATAGTAACAGGTTATGTTAAGAATAATTATTTACTTCTACTTTGACTTGATTGCAATCGTTTAAATATATTTTTCTTTTAGAAGCTACTTAAGAGCAGTAATGACACCGGTTGCCTCATTCAGAAACAGAGGAGTAATGTCTCTCAGAAAATATAAAGACTTTGTCGTCATTATTACTCTGCTCTGTCTGTTCAGCCCTGTGAGTTCACGGATAGGCAAGCAAGAACTGGTATATAATTTATTATTATTTTAAAATGAGAAAACCAATTATAAGTTAAAGAAATAAGTAATGCACACTATATTTCTTTTATGAAATTTCCACACACTGTATAAATGTTTGCATATTCTCTGTTTGGAATTTCAGAAAAATATAAATAAAAACTTACAGGAGCTACAACAAGATGCAGCAATGAGAAAGGTATTTTAAATAATTATTTAAGGTCCTTATGAAATGAAAGAATACTGTTACATTTAATTATATGTAGTAATATGCAGTTATGTTTTGATAATTCAAAAATACTTTTATTTATTTATTTCAGCTTGAAAACAAAGTGGACATGGCGTTACTTCTGCTGATGCTTGAAGAACTTACAAATGGTGTAGACATTATGGCTGAGATGATAAAGTAATTTCCCGATCTTCTTGGGAACCTAAAAGACTTGAAGGTATTCCTGGTGGAAAGCCAGTTTTTTTTGGAAAAAAAGTTTCAAGACGAATCTCAAGAAATCAAAGATTATGAGGACATACTCAGACATCTGGAGTAATTTGTAACAAACTTAGCAGAGGAGCATGCTGAACTGTGAATTGCATATTGGTTTTAGGTGTATTACAACTTGTAACATACAAGCTTTTCCAAAAGCTTGTATGTTCCTTATTGTTATTTTTTCACTTAGGAATTATATTATTGTTACTACCAAGGTAAAAGTGTCTATCGACTCAAGTATTTTAAATTGAAGTACTCTGTTATTAAATATTTTATTTTGGATAAAAGTTGTGTCCATCCATGGACGGATGGATGGATATCACAGTGGGTCAGCAGTTTAAGGACAAAAGGCAGTATTTACCCTGGACAGGCTGGCAGTCTATTTCAGGGTAACACAGAGACGTACAACCATGCACACACAGTCTCAACTATGGTAATTTAGAGATGAAAAGTAGCCTCATGGTTGTATCGTTTGAATGTGGAAGAAAGCCAGAATCCCATGAGAAAACTCATTTATGCACAGAGAGAAAATGCAAACTCCACTAAGACAGACAGGCTGGGAATCAAATCCAGGACCTTCTTGCTGCAAGGCAACAGTTCTACAAACTGCGACACCGTGCAGCCATTTTTACAGTGCCTTGGCAAAGTATTCAGCTCCCTTGAACTTTTCGATATTTTACCACATTTCAGGCTTCGAACCTAAAAATATTAAATTGTAATTTTTTTTTGAAGAATAAAAAATAAGTGGGCCATAATCACAAAGTAGAATGACATTAATTTGATATTTTCAAGTTTTTTAGTAAACACAAAGCTGGAAAATTGGGTTTCCAAATTCTTGATGCCAAAAGAGCTTTCACAAGTGTAGCAGTATGTCAATTGCCATATTGCTCCACTTGTTTCATGCATATACATTGCTTTATTATAAGCAATGTATATGCAGTTTTACAGTTTATATGGACACTGCAATGTAAATACAGCAGAAAAACAGAAGAAGAAAAGGAAAAAAGAAAAAAAGAGAAAAGATGAAAGAAAGAAGAGATAGAAAGGAGACAATGACAAAACATTTTCAGTCTGCTTCATCACCTGTAACGAGATGAAAAAAGAACAGCACAACCGAAAGACATGGTACGAGATATACAATAAAGCAACACCTTGAAACTATCGCTAAAGTAATATTATTAAGGATGAGTCCACGGGCTCCGCCGGCAGCCGGCCACCCAGAAGTAGGTCCGGGCACCGATCACCGGCGGACAAAGCCAGAGCAGCACAGCCACGTCCGCCGCCGCCCGCACCAGCCCCCGACACGCGGCCGAAGCACCTCCACCGCCCCGGCCCCCCGACACACCCCGGTCGGAGCCACTCCACCCCCCACCCGCCCCGAAGCCACACCCGGAGCCGGGTGTCCGGCACAGTCCACCCCCCCTCTGGGAGATAGACGGTGCCAGCGCACCCCCCCCTTCGACAACCCTAAGCCCTCAATGACTAGATGCGAGAGGGGATGGAGGAGGCCGACCGTGGTGAGGCCCATAACATAAGCCCCCCCCAGGTGGCCCTGACCCCCACCCCCCAGAAAATACCCTACATAGATGTGTGTTGTGAAAATGATGTAGATGGAAGTGTCTAAAATGCAAAATAAAATTGGGGTGGGGGACATCGTCAGAAGGTGGGGCCCTCCAGTAACGACCCCCTCCCCAAAAACCTACATGTGTGGCAGTGTGATGGAGCAGGCAGAGGGAGGATTTCGGGGATGGGGAGCAAAGGACTGGGGTGCTTACTGCACTCCCAGGGAGCCAGCTCCCCGCTGACTCAAATAGGCACCCCCGGGCCTCCCTCTCCAGAGAGGGGGGCCCCACCAGTGTCACCACCCAGGGACCGGCAGCAGGACCCACCAGTCAGCCGGGCACAGGGCCGACAATACCACCCTCCCCCATCCTGTCCATCCACAAAAAATAAATGAATAAATAAATGAAATAAAAAATGATAATAATAATAAAAAATTATAAATAAATAAATAAAAAAAGGGGGGGGGGGGGGGGGGACAACCCCGGCTGGCCAGCCCACACGCAACAGGCAGAGCCCCCACCCCGGACGAAGCCCCACCAGGGGACTGCACGGAGCAGGACCGAGACAGGGAGCCAGACCCAAAGCCCTTCTGAAATCCTCATCCCTCTATCACCCCCCCCACCCCCCCTCCGGAGATCTAATCCCTCCCCTACAATAACATTCAAACTACTCACCACACAAGTGACAAAAGACATCCAGGCCGAGATCATTCCTACTCCCCCTCCCTCCCCTTCCCCTACTTACAGAGTGCAAACCCCTGAAGGGGTAAGCATCTGCCGTAGGTGTTAATGTCCATGCCCCCCCAGCCCAACAGGCCCCGAGGCACCCCGGCACACCAGAGGCCGCGGCAGCAGGGACGGACAGCTGGGCATACACTGGCCCAGACCCCAAGCAGTATCCCCCACAGAACCCGAACCCCCGAAACCCTACCGGGGCCCCCGCACGAGGGCAACGCGCCCCAGGGATCCCAGACCCCCGGACCTACCCCGGACTCACCCAGAAGTAGGGCCGGGCAATGCCCAAAAACCCCCGGCGCCGGCATGCCTGCCCTCCCAGGAGACAAACAAGCCCGCCGAACGGGAATCCCACCGATAGCGCACCGCCGGCACGCAGGGGCCCGAGCGGCCCCGACAGAAACAACGGGATGGCCGATATGGACGAACCGACGGCACCAACCAAGCCCCCAGGCGGATTACCCCACCCAAAAACACAATGAAACCACTCCACTCCCATAGATCACAGCAAACACAGCTGCAAGGCAAAACAAAGGACAGAGCAGCCCCGCCAAAGCAGCAAAGCCGCAGTTTTCAGTTCTTACCACAGGTTCTCGATTGGATTCGGGTATTGCCATTATTTCTATGACTAAAAGAATTGAAAGAGAACAATGAAAATTACTATTAGAAATGGAAGCAAATGTGATATACTTTATATAAAAAAGGAAATCTTTAAGTCTGGAATATGTATATTTTTTTATTCTTATTTTTTAAGGCTAATAAAGCCTTCCTGCAGGTGAATCAAAGATGGACGGAATGGATAATAAGAGGACAAAACCCAACTGTTTGTCTTTACTCAGATTGTCCTTCCTCACGTTACATAGGCGTGACTTGCCTTTAGCTTTCATTTTAAAAAACAATATTGACAGAAGAACCAGCTAGGTGTCATTTAGCAATGACTGAGAAAACTCTAAATATGTTGACTATTCATTAGTTCATGTTTAAGAATTTTAACATGATTTGAAATAAAAAAAAATGTACAAGAATTTAAAAAAATATTTTAGAACTTAGAACTTTGTGGAATTTGACTTTCTTTTTTGTTCTGTTTACTCTGCCAACATTACGTGACTGTGTGGGGGTGTGGTTATTTGATGTGCGTATGAATAAGGCCACCTACCGACCGAGGAAATTAGATCACCATTAAATCCTGAACAGAACGGACAAGACAGATGATGCTGTGTTTTTATTTTAATGAGGAAAGAGGAGATCAGACATGATTTATAACAGAAAATATAAGTAGAACAAAGTAATCATTTATATAGTGACATCTGTACTGGAGGCCTTTTCACTCACCTAACAGGTAAGCTCCCTAATGTTTTAAAAGCCACAACTCTTAGTCATACTTCAAACATTGTAGTATATATTTCAAGTCCATATATGATGAATGAGTGTTTTAACAGAAATCATGGCAGAACCAGGATGCATAAGGACTGCTTTGAGAGTCATGAAACACCTGTTCTTCATTATCTCTCTGCTGTTTGTCCTTTACATTGGAAAGCTTCTCATATTTAACAACCCTGTGGTAAATAGCTTTTTGTTTTTCCCTTCAAGACCAAAAATCTTTAAATGCACAGAATTACTTGTATTCACACTCTTTTATGCTCTTTTTTTTTCTTAATTTCAGGACTTATTGAAGGAAAGTTTTCAAGCATTATTAGAAGAAACACTTAGGAAGCAGGTAGGTCTTAAACTTGCTGTTAAATTTCCACTATGGTTAGGGTAAACAGATGAAGGCTGTGTTGTTAGGTTTTTTATTTAAATAGAAAAAACATTTAGTTTTTATTTGAGCGTTAACTCAACTTGCTTCTGATTCTGATTTTTATTTTTTCAGAATCAGAATCAGAAATACTTTAATAAACCCAGAGGGATTAAAGTATTTCTGATTCTGATTCTGAAAAAAAAAAACTTAATTTAAATTAGTGGGAGTGTAGAGAAAAAAGAAATGTAAATTTAATGCTTTTATTCTGTATCATCAGGCAGAAGAAAAAAGTAGGATCGAAACCATCTCAACACTTCTTGATGAAGCAAGATTACTAAAAAACAAGGAGCAGCTGGTAAAGGATTTCACATAATTTTGAGAAGCAATTTTGCTTGCCAAAAAAACTCCGCAAGAATGATTAATAAATTCTTTGATCACTGATGCTTTCTTTGATCCATTCCAGGAGATATTCAAGGAGAAACTCAGGAAAGCAGTGCGTGAAGCATATAAACAAGAGGTGTGTCATTCTACCTTAATAATCTTCAAAATGTAAACATTTCTACCAAAATAATATTGAAAAAATGCATTAACTCTAGAATTCTTTTTCTTCCTGCAGATTGAAGACAAAATTAGAATTTTAGCTGCTGAAGAACAGTTTATTGAAAAGATGGAGGAGATTTATCCCAAAATGCAACTTGTGAAGAGGGACACAGATCCATCATCAAAACAATTGGTGCATGCTGCAGAACGTGGCCTAAGAACTTTAAGAGCCTTCTTTGCCCTCAGAAAGAAGGTCTTTGAAGAAACGTCCACAGAAAAGACTATAAATGATATTATAAACACTTTAAATTCCAAACAGGATCTACATGCTGAGCTTTAACTGCTGATAGATTTGTTTCAGTTATCTAAATCAAAAGCATGTTAATGGTCAATAAAAGATAACTTGAATAGTTTACAATTTTTATTTTATAAAAAGATGTGCCATTTAAAGAATAAAACAATTTGTGATTTTTGATAAGAAAATAATATTTCTTACACATTGAATTGTTTTTCCAATAGTCAGATGTATGTCAAAGCAAGTTGAGTTAACGCTCAAATAAAAACTAAATATTGATTTTTGCATGAATTGTTCTTTTTCATGACATGAACACATTTTTATACAATTTGTGTACTTTTTACTCCGCTTGTCAGTTGTGTCCTATACAGAAATGAGTGCT